ACTTGAGAGTCCAATACTCCTTGTATGCCTTGTGGATGCCATTTAGGAATAAATTTTTCGATAGATTGATATCTTGTTGCACTTGTGGTCCACATCATCTTGATTTTGTGATTGTTTTGAGATTCATTCTAGTATTCTACACTAGCACATGCGCACACTAGCATTCATTTGTAGGGTACATGCTTTGTTGATTATTGAATTGGTTATATCCCAATTGAACTAGTAGTGCATTAAAAGTTTTCATTCTTGATAAAGGTGGATAACAACCCCTTTTCACTAAGTAGCTGGGATTCTAGCCTCATTAAGCATTGAACTTTTCGTGTCGAAAGGTGGAGGGCCCAAACTCTAGGTTAATAATTGAATTTAAAATAAAAAAAAAAAAAAAAAGAAGAGCAAAAGCAAAAGCAAAAGCAATAAAAAGTGAGGACTTCTCCCAAATGGTGAGAAGTGGGAAATGATTAGATGGAGGTTGTTTTGATTTGTAGCCTAGTCGATTTGAGCCTGTAAGTCCGTAGGGGTGTTTGAACGCCTAGTGCCCTAAAGCCATCTGGTTTGGTAGTCATTGACCTAATGCTCGACCTCATAAATCACTAGAAAGCTTAATAGATCAACACATTGCATTATGCTTCCATCTTTGATCCTCAATAAAAATAAAAATAAAAATAAAAAAATCGAGTGAAAAGAATAAGCGCACCTAGAACAATAAAGCTTTAATAAAAGGTCCACTTTTTGTCTTAATGATCGGTACTAGATTTATGTGCTAGTTTAAGGGTAATGATGTGATCATTTCTTTAGTTGGCTTAGATAGCAACATATTTGATGCCGGTCCACTCAAAAAGGATTTTAGAGTTGTTTTGATTTGTATGATCATTTTCATGATGTGTGGAGGACCATATTTGCTTGCTCGATGTTGAAATTTTGGGAGATTGCTTAGAAATGTTTGAAAAATTCCATACTTGAGGTAGTTTTATCCCAATGCTTGTTTGCAATATTGGTGTCTCTTTTGAAAGAATGAGCTTAATGTTTGTAGGTATCATTTCTGGAAACCCTCATAAGACTTCACTCGTCCACTAGGGGTAACCTAGGGGTTTAAAAGGTTTGTTGTATATGCTAAGTGCAATCGTGTTCCCTACAAAAGTGGCGTTATCCTTTTATTGCTTTCTAGTTTATAGTTGTTTAGCTGTTCATTTCATTCCTTTACTTTGTAGTTCATTGCTAGAGCAATATTTAAGTTTGGGGGTGTGATGAACGCTGAAAAGTGTGTATTTAAACCCCTTAAACTTAGGCATTCTAGTACCTTTATCTATCTTACTTTATCGTTTTAGATTGATTTCGTATTATTTCCATTTTTAGGAACTTATCCCAAAAATAAGCTAACTCAGCTAAATAAGAGCAGAAATGAAGCAATTCTGGGATAAATCAAAGAAATGAGCTAAGTGGAAGCAAAAGGAAGAAAAAGGTGGAATTCAACATCTTCGATCGATCTCAGATCAAAGTTCGATCGATCCAACATGATCAATTTCAGCACTTCAAGATGGATCAGAGCCATGATGACATTTTTAGAGATCTCAAAAGTTCGATCGATCCAACATCATTCTTCGATCGATCGAACTACCTTGTTCTTATCCAAATGATTGATCTTATCTAGTTATACCACCCTACCAACCACTTTTGTTCTTTTCTTAAAAATATCTTCGAAATATCTCAGATTTGTTTTTATCCAAAAAGGCACCGCCATTGAGGATCGATCCAACTTCAGTTCGATAGATCTCAGCCATATTCGATTGATCTAAGTCCAAGGTTCGATCGATCGAACTTCCTCCAGTGCGAAAAAGTTAAATTTCCGACCCATTGAAAGCTGTCCTTATCCAATCATTGGTTTTATTTTGTGCACGACCCCAGCCCATTTTGTGTATCACTTAACCTACCTATATATAGAATATGATGCATTTTTTGAGATCTATACTAGGAGATACTTAGCATTCTTAGGAATCATCTTTCACAATAGAGACTATTCTTAAGGAGGAAGAAAGGAGTAGTAGGCTAGAGACACAAGCTTTGGAGCTCTTCATCAATCAAGGAGTAGATTTCTTCCATGGAGTTTGCCCTTGAGGGTTAGAGAAGCACTACCATAAGTGGCTAGACATCCTCTTGGGGCTAGAGTTAGCCCCAAGCATGCTTTCTATATCTTGATTTTGTGTATTATTGAGGGATTAGTGTTGTAATACATGTTTTGGCACTTATATATATATAGATCTTGTTTATTTAATGATTTATGTTGTTTAATACTTTCAATTGATCATTTCATTCCATCCATATGTCTATGTATGCTAGAATAGATGTTCATGTATTTGTCTCTATTTCTTGTGTTATTGATGCATGTCTATGTGTATTAATGCCATAAATCTAGAGATTATCAAAACATAATACTTAATGGAATGCTCTTGTAATTTTCTTGATGGTTCATACTCATTTCTTGATGGATTGTATCTCTCCCTTAGCTTAATTAGTTTAATTTCATGTCATTAGCTTAATTGTAGTGTAGTGGTAGTATAGTTGTTAGATGGGAGGACAATTCATGCTTGTTGTTTGATATTCCATACTTTTGAATGTAAGTAGCATATGTCTCTAACCTTGTGGTGTATTTGGCTTGTGAGCTTAATGAAAGGATTAATGACTTGCTAGATATATTATGCTTTTCACATGCTATTTAGGCAATATATACTTAATTGTTAGATATATTGTGCTTTTCACATGTTGCTTAGAGAATATATGCTTAATTGGTCACCCTTGCTAATTGAATCAACCAAACACACACACACATCAATATTGTAACACACATTTCCCTCATTAGTCACTTGTTAAGGGCGTACAAAAGTATTGTTAGTGGTGACCTCTAAACTCCAAGATCTCTCTCTTTTACTTACTCTTTATTGCATTCAATTATTTAATTTAATTTACTCTCTAGTTTAATCAACCAACCAACTATTTGTTTGATCATTCGACCTGCTAACCCTAATAGTGATTCCACAACCGAATTCAACTCCAATCCCTTGAGACGATCCCTACTCATCCTAACTATATTTTTAGTGAAGGTAGTAGTGACTTTTATAAATGTAAAACTTGGTCCTCGCCTTAATGCACACTCTTAAGCTTGTGGCGTAGGATGGCATACCGACCACTAGTCCCGAACTCAAAGAAATTCTCCAATTAACTTTCGGAACTCACCTGGCACATCCCACGGTATTCGACACGCAAAACTAGGCAAAAAAGAAATAATCTCGAAAAATGAAAAATTGAAAAAATGGAAAATATTACCAATATGGCTTCTAAGTTTTGTTAGAAATAATAATAATAATAAAAAAATGTAGAGTATTACTTATGTTGGATGGCCAAAAATTGCATAAAAGGGCGGGAAAACAGAGAGAGAAGATGGGTGTTTACTATTTTACATCACATCAAGGCTATGTTTGGGGGAGCTTCTTGATCTTCAAATTCCTTCCACTTAATGGGCTTTGCAAAATGCATTTTAATGGAAGGAATTTAAAGAAAAAAAGTTGTTTGGTGGATATATTTTTTAAAAAATTCTTTTGACTAAACACAATTTAACTTGACAATTTTAACCTTAATTATCATGAATAGTACAAAAGTAAGGAAAAAAAAATATGAGAAAAGATAATTAAGTAATAGAGTGAAAATTAGAGATGATGGAGCAATAATTAATTGGCACATCAATTTTGTTCATACTTTTATTGTAGATACATTGCTGACAAAGTAAAGATTGCCATTACTGACAAAGTGAAGATCAATGTATACATATCGATAGAAGTTGAAGGGAAAATAAATAAAACGATAAGAGAAATTATAGCAGTTTAGTATAATTATTCAGACTCAATTTCATTCTTATTTCTAGTTATATTGAAACCCTAACTTAATACATAAAACAAAATAGATGTCTTAAAAAAAATCTATTATATATATATATATATATATATATATATTGAGAGTTAGAAATGTTGTTCAGAATTCTATGGGGAGTTGAACTTTTTTGGATTAGAGTTCAAAGATCTTTATAACTCTTTTGCTCCTTAGTCTTTGAATTCAAATGGAAATCAATCGTTATATTATGCTGCAAATCCTTTACATCTTGGATTAAATGGAAATCAATATGAATTTTTTTTCTACAAATCCTTCACGTCTTGTGTTCTTTCCTTTTAAAATAAGGATAAAATTGTAATTAAAAATTATTACTTAAAATTACCGGACTTTCCTAGAAATAAGTTCCAAAAGCAAGTTTTTCGAACTTTGCTTAAACAGATTTTTTAAGATTTTGACGTTTGTTGGAATTCCTCTTATCTTAGTTAACCAAACACTAATATTTTTTTGAAAAGAGCCTTATAAGCTTGGTAGACCGTTTGAAGTCATCAGAAAGCTGAGCCAAACATGCATCAAGTACTTGATTAACTAAAACTTAAAATTAGTTTATTACTATTATTTTAATCACATATATTCAATTGGAGCAGTTAACTATCCGTTTGGGGTTAACTTGCTGTTTTGTATTATTTAATTATACTATATTCATCTTATTTACAAAATAGTGAAGTTGGTTTATGAAATATATTAAAAAATTCAAAGTGACCCGGTTTTGAGATACAGCAAGGTCGCTGCTACAGCGGACCATCCTTGCCCAAATTTTGATGAGGGGGTTGTTCTTTGGTTTGAAAGGACGGTAAGCAGCTCAGCTGCATTTAACATCTTATACTTTTTGGTCTGATTGATCCGGCTCCGCACATGCTACTATATATTCTCTCTGCTTAAAAAAAAACAAAATATCTCTTTTAAAAAATTGTGATGAGTCACAATTCTTCAAAAAAGAAAAACATTCTTTTATAATATATATCTATATATATATATATATATATATATATAGCTCTTCACCAATTCAAGCAACATATATATTAGGAAAAAAAAATAAAAAAATAAAAAATCAAACATACATGTTCCAGGTGCAATTTAAGGTGATCTTAGGTAATACCCAAAATTTACTGTTGCATACCCTATGAAATATTACAACATCAAGAACATTAAATACGCCCGACATTTCCAACAATAAAACAAAATCTAAACAGACCAATCAAAAGTTATAGATGAAACAATTTATTTTAACACTTTGGTCCAAATATCACTACTATTTCCATATATGGTAAAGTTATCAAATCCCATCCAATGCTTCTGAATCAGTCAGTTTTGCCTTCAATTCTTCAATGGGAGGAACTCAAAGAACTGGTATGGAGTGAAGTCGGCATTCATGGCTGCGACCGACATCTCGGACTCCTCCTCTCTCCCAATGGGAAACAGTTGGAGGGTCTGAGAATCCTCATAGCCTTCATCTTCATGGCTAGGATCTTCTGTGTAGGGTGATATGAAGATGTTCAGATTTTGAACCCTTGTGGGCTCTGTGTCCATTGATCCTGAGGTTGATGGGGTTGTACCACTAGCATTACTAGTACTGTTTGTGAGGTGGCAGCTGTGAGGTGATGAACAAGACAACTGCATCGTCCGCCACGTGGCATTCCTTTCTACCAAGCTCTTTCTCTGCTCTAATTCTCTCTCCTCATCGAATTGTATCCATCCTTCTGTTCTATATTTTGGCTCTGCTGTCCTTTGTTTCGGAACAGTCTTCTGAAACAAACATCCAAGGCATGGGAATAGGAACCAAAAAAACAAAAAAACTACTGACACATATATAATGAATTAAATAGGTTTGACCAACATCCATCTTCATTAATTATGACCTATTATCTCTCGCAATTAGATAAGGAAAATGCTTTTTAAAGTGACAAAACTATTATAATTGAAAAATATTTAAGTCTGGCGCTTCGTAAAGTATTAGGTCTTAAGATGATTTTTTTTTTTTTATGTGCAAATTATTCTTTAGGGTTACGTGGGAACATAATCTGAACCTGATTTATGTGGGTGGGCACCTTGCATAGTCCCGTGAATTAGTCGGGATAAAGTTCTGAACACTCCGGCTTTAACCAAAAAAACAAAAAAAAACCGAAGGGCCAAATTCTTAAACCGAAAGAGTGTAAATCATAAGATGGAAAAGTGTAAGTAGACTGGGTCCCACAGTAGACTGGGTCCCACACTCACGATTCCAACTTATATTCTTTCAGTTGGGCAATTAGGCTAAAATTTTCGGTTTGTTTATCTCACTCATTAGATAATACAAAATTGAATACTTTAAGAATACTCTTATGTTTTTTCATTTCAAAAAAATATTGAGTATTCTAATGATATTGACTATGTAAGTATTCCGAACTAAATAATGCACACTATTAAATTTTCTTTTAGAATATAATTACTCATCATTAGTAAGAGTAACACTTAATAATTTTTACAAGAGTACCCGACAATATGAAGCCTATTTTTTTTTTTTTTTTGTTTTGCACCCAATAATATCAATTACTAGTCTAACTAGGATGAATATTAGAGCAACATTAAGACCCAACGAAGCCTAGATGTGTTTCATTACAAAATTTTTTGAATTCGGTCGTACTCATGTTTGAGTCTCCCTCCAATTAGTTTGCCACAACAAAAGAAATATTTATGTGTATGTGTGTATGTGTCTATATATATATATAAAAGATCCGACAGAAAGGAAGCAACTCAATCTCTTCACCATTTTCAATTCCCAACAAACAAAGCTTATCTTTACTCCTCTGCATTTCTTCCTTTTTAATTACCATTTTGTCTAATGCTTAATTTGCATGACCTTGCAATCATATGCATTTTATTAAATGATTAATTGATTTTAAATTTCTAATTGTTGTTTGGAGATGAGTGGAATTGAGAGTTAAGAGAAAATTATATATTGGTATGTGAAGAAATAGAAAGGACGATAAACAGACCTCTGTGAATGTACAGCAGTTTGCAGGGGTTTCCCAATTCTTAGTCTGTTCGACATAACCTGACCTACCTGTCCCTGTAGACAAAAGAGGAAAACAAACTTCACATCTCATGCAACAAATGAAGAAATGAGAAAAGAAAGAAAAATTTTCTAACATCAATACTACCATTTATATATATTTCAAACTACAAATTAATGGAACCGAGAACAAAGAAATTTATATAATATTGGAACCCACATGAGCTCTTAAGTAGATCAAAAAAATTTTATGAAACAAATTAATTAAGAATCAATTAAATCATAAGCCACTTTGAACTCCCGAATGATTTTTAAATTTTAGATGTATAAAATCGTCCGTAAATCAAATTTATCATTTAAACCTAGGTCTCATCTCGGGTGAGACTCTAATAGCCTTACTAGCTTTTATTTAATCGAGTCACCTTCCATTATTACCCGATATATATATACCACTGATAAAGAAAAAGCTTAGTAGTTTTTAGTTTTTACTTACCACAAAAAAAAAAAAAAAAAAAAAAAAAAAAAAAAAAAATGAAAAACTCCCTATAATTTTTAATTGTCATTCATTTTGAATGGCATATTTTTAGACGCAAGAAATGGTCCGTAAACCAATGTAAACCTAGGCCCCATCCAAACTAAAGACCTAATAACAGTAGTATCCTAATAGTCTTATCAGCTGAGCTACCCATAAGTCACATGTATCATTTAAACGAGGCCTTACCTTTGCAGAGATGCTGGTACAGGCGGCGGATCTTATGCATGCCATTAGTATATAAAGAAAAAGCTATAGATAATTAATTAATTATGTGATTGTTATGAGTTACCTTTCCTTTGGGTGCATTGGAAATTACTTGATTGAAGTTGGCGACGACGTTTCTGGCGATCTCTGGCCTTGTGATTTTGGAACCAGTAGAAGACATTCTTGCCTTCAATCTTGCCATACCGACGAAGCTGTTGAGTGATGTGCTGAATCTGCTCAGCAGATGGCGTCCGAGTCCCGCGTTGATACAATCCTTCAAGGGCTTGTAACTGCTCTGCTGTTGGATTCCAGCGGGAGCTCACCACAACCTGTTGTGTGTTAACCAAGTAGTCTCTCTTACTTTGCTCAGCCACAGTTGCTGTCACATAATAAAACCTCAGGAAAATCAATACCACTCAGATGGCAACATTTTATATGCAAACACACACACACACACAAAGTAGAATATTATTACCCAGATGGTGATTGAGTGCAAGAAGATCAGTCCCATAATTGGTGCGACTTAAACAAATAGGGTTTGTAATGGCGGTATTGTTGTTGCTGTTAGCAGTAGTAGTAGTTGCAGGCTTTGTTAAGAGAGGAGGAAACATTGGGATGTTGAATGAATCAGGCAAATTGGAGTCCCCATCATCATTGTTAAATCCCATCATCCACATTTATGCTGATGATCTCTCTCTCTCTGTCTCGGCGTGTGTGTGTGTGAATGAGCTTTTATCCCAAACACTTAAAAATAAGACTCTTCAAAAGTGCAATAGTGTATGTGTTCAATAACTTTATTTGAGGACGTCAACGTAGTATTTAAAGACTCGATTTAATATGTTAATTCTCGTAATTTATTATTGATATTTTTTTTTGACTGTCTGGAGCATTGCCGGATAACAAGAGAAAAAAATGAGAGTGATAAAAGAATACAAAGGACAAAAGTAGAGAAGAGTGTGTGTGAAAGCAAAGCTTGGAATTCAGGGAGTTATCGGTATTGGTGAACCAAAAACGACCTGACGATGATGAGGGTTATCATAAGCCTCATCACCTCAACCTCATTTATTGTTCGTCTACTGTCTTGTGGCTTTCACACTTTTTTTCAATCCAAACTGCCCTTCTGCTTCCTGTGCTAGCTCTCTACCCTTTTCTTTGTCTTCTCTCTCCCTCTAATCTCTCTCTCTCTTTGAAATTCCTTTGCTACCCTCACTTACCTGCGATATCACCAGTTTCAACCGCATGTGCCAGTGACCAGCCTATTCAATGCATGTCTAGTCTCAATACATTTTTTGTATCATTCCGATATATAATTGTCCTTCACACTCACATATAGTAACATATTTACGTGCCATCACAATTACTGTATCTCCTATACAATCTTCCCAGCTCACTTCCATAATTCATGACTTTGATGCATTTTGTCTTTACTTTATATACATGTCCATGTCTTGTTGCCTCCATGATCATGAATTGTATCTCTTATTTTTCATATTTCATTCGAGTATGTACAGAGTATATATAGAGAGCTTCTAGACATAATTCCCTAGAATCAAGCTATATCCCTGAATTATAGCCTTACAATCTTCTATAGTCAAATATAATCTTCTACAATAGGAAAGAAGGAAAACTCAATCTGTACAGCTAATAACAACCTAATTCAACACTCCCCCTCAAGTTGGTGCATAGATGTCCCACATATCCAACTTGTCTAAAAACTTTAAGAACACTCGATTTGAGACTGCTTTGGTGAGGATGTCAGCCAACTGACCTTCTGATCGAATCTTAGGTAATTCCACAAGCTTTCCATCCAACTTTTCCTTAATGAAAAATCTGTCTACCTCAACGTGCTTTGTAAGGTCATGTTGAACTGGATTATGCGCGATGTCACATGCTGCTTTATTGTCACAAAATAGTCGGATAGGTTGTTTAAATAAATAACCCAAATCCTGCAAGAGGATTCTTAACCATAAAACCTCACAAAGTGTAAAGATTACTTCCTACAAAAGGAAAGTAACCAGAGGTAGATCGCCTATTATCTATGGATCCAGCCCAGTCAGCATCAGTATATGCATCTATGCTTTGATAATCAGCATTTTTAGTGAAAAAAATTCCTTTTCCAGGTGCAGATTTTAGATACCTCAAAATACGCATAACTGCATTCATATGTTGCTCTCCAGGATCATGCATAAATTGGCTAACAATACTCAATGCATATGCCAGATCCGGTCTCGTGTGTGCTAAGTATATTAATCTCCCTACAAGTCTTGGGTATCTTTCTTTATTAGCAGGTACTTGGTTGGGCTCAACACATAACTTCAGTCCTTCTTCCACTGGTGTATCAGCTGGTTGACATACTGTCATACCAGTCTCTTGTAATAAATCTGAAACATATTTTCTTTGAGAGAGAAAGATTCCTTTATTAGATCGAGATATTTTGATCCCAAGAAAATATTTCAAAGGACCTAGATCTTTCATTTCAAATTCGCTGGACAAGTAATTCTTGAGAGCCTTCATTTCTATAGGATCATTCCATGTAACCACTATGTCATCCACATATACAATATGAGTGCAGTGATCTTACCTTGTTTCTTCAAGAATAAAGTGTGGTCTAAATTGCTCTGATGGTAGCCAAAGGTTATCATAGACTTTGTAAACCTTCCAAACCATGCTCTCGAAGATTGTTTTAACCCATACAACGATTTCTTTAACCTACACACCTTCCGACTATGTTGTTCGGGTATCATGCATCCTGGTGGGAGATCCATGTAAACTTCTTCGGATAATTCACCATGTAGAAAAGCATTTTTCGCATTGAATTGTTGTAATGGCCAACCTAAGTTTGCAGCTAAAGACAACAGGACACGAACTGTTTTGATTTTGGCTATAGGTGCAAATGTTTCTGTGTAATCAATCCCATAGGTTTGAGTGTATCCCTTTGCTACTAGTCGTGCCCTAAAACGTTCTATTTTGCCGTCAGCCTTGTACTTCATAGTGTAAATCCACCGACATCCAACTGGTTTCTTCTCTGGTGGAGGATCAACTAGTTCCCATGTTTTATTTTGTTTCAGAGATTTCATCTCCTCGTTCATAGCTGATTTCCACTTGGGATCATTTAAGGCTTCCTGCACACTATTAAGAATAGATACAGTAGATAATTGATTCACAAAGGACATGTTTGATTCTGACAAACAATGGTTAGACACATAATGGCTCATAGGATATTTTACTTTACTAGAAAGTTCAGGTTCATATGTAGGTTTACGAATACCTCTGGTGTGATGCTGTGGCAACTATCTTTTGTGTGGCTCAGGAACATCTTCAGTAAGTGATTGATGTGATATATCGATCGGAGATGGAGCCATATTTTCCATAAACTCGATTTCAGGCTGAGTTGGAGACAGATCCACTTCTTCGGTTATTGGGTGTTCATCACCACTTTGATCCAATGTCATATCACTTATATCCAATTCACCTATTTCCTGATTGTTTTCAATATGTGAGTCATCACCACTAGAATCCAATGTTATACCACTTGTATCCAAGTTGCCCACATCTTGATTATAACTTTCATCATAATTTAGAGTTTGAATTTCCTTCTGGTACTCTCCCTGAAATTCAGGCTTGGAGAAGTACATTGTATCTTCATGGAAAACAGCATCCATCGTGACAAATAATCGACGTGTTGGAGGATGGTAACACCGATATCCTTTTTGATGAGTGCCATATCCAACAAAGACACATCGCAATGCTTGAGGAGTTAACTTGGTGCGTTGATGCTTGTATAGATGAACAAACACCACACAGCAAAGATATGAGGAGTTAAATTTGAGATAGCTGGGGCAACAATTGTGTCAGTAAGGGTTTGGAATGGTGTTTTGAAATTGATGGTGCTGGAGGATACTTAGTTGATTAAATAAGCTGCAGAAGTGAGTGCTTCTCCCTAATAAGATAATGGCATATGGCTTCGATTAACAGAGCTCTGACAACTGCCAACAAGTGCCAATTTTTTCGCTTGGCCACCCCGTTCTATTGGGGTGTGTTAGAGCAAGTTGTGTGATGAATCATTCCGTATTCTTCCAAATAGCGTTGAAATTTAGTACTCTGATATTCTCCACCATTGTCACTACGAAGAACTTGAGTCTTTCTATTGTACTGAGTTTCAATCTGTTTATGAAACTGTTGGAATATTGAGTTCACTTCACTTTTGGATTTCATCAAGCAAAGCCATGCCATCCTGGTACAATCATCAATGAATGTTATAAACCAACGTGACCCACCTAAAGTAGTGACTTTAGCTGGACCCCAGACATCAGCATGAATAATCATAAAAGGAAGTGAACTTTTATTCAATTGTAATGGAAACGAAATACGATGGTTTTTCACAAGTTCACAAACATCCCACTGAAAACTAGAAACATCAACTTTTATAAATAAACTGGGAAATAATTTTTTGAGATATCCAAAGGAAGCATGCCCAAAACGGTGATGCCATAACTAGATTTCTTTCCTTTTTGTATCTTTAGAACCACCCATTATCAGAGCTTGTCGTAGACTTTTGGTACTCTTTAATTCCAAGTCCAAGTAATACAGCTTCCCCTGCCTAATACCACAACCAATTGTCTTCCTGGTTTTGATGTCCTTAAACACACAATAATTAGGCCAAAAAATTACAACACAAGATAAGGTAGTGGCTATTTGAGAAACTGATTAAAAATTATAATCTAAAGATGGAACAACCAAAACAGAATCTAAATTGAATGTATCGTTTAGAGTCAAAGATCCTTCCCCAATAACTAGGGTTGAAGTTCCATTTGCAGTAGAGACAAATTTTTGGGTAGAGTGATTGAGTGGTGAGACCTGTCTAGAATCATATGTCATGTGATCTGTTGCACAAGAATCAATTATCCATGCATTATTCAAAACAGGTGTAGAGATAGTTAAAACCTTACCATTGTCTACAGCTATTACCAATGCCGAGGCTTTGCTAGCACCTTCATCTTCCATCTTTGTTTGGATAACTGCTGCAGTGGAAGGCTTTTGTTGATTTTTCTTTGTACGACTAGGATCCCACCATTCTGGATACCCCACCAACTCAAAACAACGACTTTTGGTATGACCAGTCTTATTGCAATGAGTGCATTTGTAAGAAGACTTATCAATACCATTGGTTGATCTACTATTGTGGGGTTGTCCTCGATCTTGGTGACCCTTATTAGATCAGTTTTGAGCCACCATGGCACTGGAGTCAGATGCTCCGGAATCACCTTTCAGGGTGGTACTACGTACAGCCTCTCGTTGAACCAAAGAGTAACACTCATCCAGATTCAGCACTAGATCTCTACATAAGATCTCACGTCGGATTGAATTAAACTCCTTATCCAATCGAGCGAGAAATATGTGAACTCTTAATCGTTCAATAGATTTGCGATTGGCTTTAACATCATCTGGATCTTTCATAACCACCGTATCACGATGGTCCAACTCTTGAAAAATTTCAGTCAGTTCTCCATATTATACAGAGAGGATTCTTCCATTTTGTTTGGTAGAAAAGGCCTTTTGATTCAGAGAAATAACTTGCAATTCATCACTTCCATCGTAAAATGCTTTTGACAAGGCATTCCAAATGTCGTAGGCAGTGGGTAAGCGTAAATAACGCCTCATAATTTCCAGAGACATAGACATTAATATCCATCGTTTGACCTTTTGATTTTCAGCATACCATTTTTCATAGCCTTTATCAGATTCTGCAGGTGGCTTAGTTTTACAATAAATGTATGAGATTTTGTCCCTTTCAACAATTTACATTTCCATCAGCTGAGACCATATGTCGTAATTTGATTC